ACTGTACTCTGCTCAGCAGGTCAGTTGCATTCTAGCTCTGCACAAGGTTGACATGCTTAGAACAGCACATCTAGCAATGTCTTGTATTATGCTCTTTATCATCTAGATTTGTGCACACTTGAGAAAGTCCTTAATTAAAATGCTCAAAAGGCTCTTATGTTTCACATTCCTTATAGCTAGACAAGCATGTCATCTCATTCGCTGTACGTTGTTAAAATAAAAAAGAAAACCAGTGCACAGAGAGCCCTGATTTTCCTCTGTTATGCTATGCAGTTCCACTGATTCAGCACAGATACTCTCATTGAGACCTACTTAAGGGCCTGACTGAGAGTAAAACTGAATAGGCTACTTTCACTGATAGCAAAGAGCGTTAAATCCAATCTGCATCCATGACGCAGAATGATCTAGGTCAATTAGTGAACTGAGCTTATTGAAATAATGTTGTTTTATAACACTGACAGATGATAAATGGATATCTAAGTGCAAGAACCAGTGACCATGTCTATACAGCAAGGACTGCCCTGATGAAGAGCTCAGGCAGAGCAGAAAGGAAATGCAACTCGAAGAGAGTTCCAACAGGGTGCTTAAAAAAACAAGTGTGCCTGCAGTTTATACAGCCAAATGAGGGGCAAACTAGCAGCACAAAAGTGATTTTAGTTGTGCAGGTGATCACTCATGAGACTGACATGAAGTATTCCAAGTAATTCAGGCTCAGAGGCAAAGGCAAAGCAGAATAATAGGACACGAGTAAAGAAGGATGCTGAAAATTGGAGGAACAGAAGAAAAGAGTCACACACACACACACTTTAAAAAAAAAAAAAAAAAAAAAAAAAACCCACATTTTTAGGCTGAAGGAACATAGAGAATAAAAAACAATTATTCATTCAAGTTACCAAAATAAAATTGTGCAGCAGCTCAACAATAGGCTAACTGACAGTAGGAGGTCTTCATTGGAAAAACACAGCAAACACCAAAGGCAGAAGCCAGCTAAATTCAAAGACAAAATTAGGTGCTAAATGAGGAAGGGGAAACCAGAGAAGGTAAGAATTTGGAATCAGGGAAGCTGGAAATAGTGGGCTACTGCATTGTGCTTTCTGTAGATCAAGTTACTGGGATTAATACACTGGTAACTAAGCAACATGTTAGGGGTCTGCAGTACACTACATATTTGTACACATGTATAGCACAAAAGACACAAAAGCTATTCTAACTAAAACTTAGCACACTGTTGCCTATTAGGTCTATTCTAGTATGCTGACAGGTATTCGTACAACAAACATTCAAATTAGCAGGCAAATTCAAGGCAGGAAAGATCTGCGTTCATGTAGACTTAAACTCAGCAGAAAAAAAATTGCTATGATTTTATGAAGACAGCTGTAATACGATGGATCTTTGCTCTGCATAAGCAAAGCAACACAAGGCAGGTAGTGTGCTAAGCCACCCATACTGGTGACATGGCAGACAGGTTACAAGGGGTAGGAACAACAAATGCTGAGATGATATATATGGAATATCCAAAATCTGTGCTGTACGAACAGATTGCAAAAGAAAGTGCAGAAGGCTCCATCACAACACGTCAGTTATTGCTTGCATACTTAGTATTACATGCATCTCTCACCATGCTTTAGTTCTTTGTACTGGATTTCAACTCCAAGAGCAAGCCATGGGTGGGAAAAGAGAAGGAAAGAAATGAGAGCTTTTCTCTCTAAAGGAATGAGAATGGAAATTGCCCTTCACAGAAGTGATGAATTCCTGTTCACTACTAGATTTCTTCTTAGGTTGATCCACTCTGTTCCACTGCCACGCATTGCCCAGCTTCTACTGACATCTCCCAAATTCACATGGGTTCAGCAGTAAAGCAGGAGAGTGAATCTCAGGGACCTGCTAGCTGGCAGGTGTCATTTGACAGAGGAGATCTGAGGAGGTGGCAAACTTCTCTTTTACAGTAGCTAAGGGTTACAGCACTCTTTCCAGAACTGGTCTGGGTTTTAGTTCCATCTAAAGGAAACTGAGCTTGTTGTTCTCATTTTGCAAGTGAGTGTCAGCAAACCAAATGCTATATTTAAATACAGCAAATAAGTGAGTGTGTGCATAAGTACGTTGCCTCTGGGGAAGAAGAGCTATGTTCTAGTCTTTACAAAGCACTGATGTCCTTAACAAGTCACTAACAATATAAAGAAAGACACACAGGACCTTTGGGAGTACATGATGTTAAAATGGCACTAGCTTGCAAAGCTGCGAAACTCAAATTGGTCTTCTGCAGTAATTTTATGAAGTGGCAACAAAAGCACACATGCTGGCTGCTGGTGAGAAAGCACAGGGACTCTTTGGAAGCATACAGGGAGGCTGTGACTCACATGACAGTTTGGTGCAGAAAAGGAGATAATGCAGAACTGCAACCTACAAGATATGACAAAGATGGGAGAGAAAAGCAAAGCAAACTCCCAGTGACCATCACATTTAAACACATTTAACTGTAACTCATTTTGCCTTCTTAGGTTGGGCTCTTGAAGATGCACTGCAGCAGAAATTTATTTTCCTTGCACATTGGTATGTATACATTTAGTTCCACATGCATCTAGTTGCTTGCAGTTTTGTTATATCTTATTTCCCATCTGTTGGATGCTCCAGACTAGGCCTTATAACCAGATAGTCACTTAAACGATATTTTTGCTTGCATATATACACTGATTCTTGAACAAAAATAGTCCTGCAGAGTACTGTCTGGATTCAGTTGCCTAAGGATAAGCACACGCAGCCCTGTGAAAAGACTGTTATTATCTGAAATGTCTTCATGTAGCTGGCAAATATGACATAGGATCTGCAGCTTTCTGCCACAGTAGATGAGGCAAAAACCCTAGCAAGGAACCTAAGTGGCAGTGGATGTCTATGCTTTGGCAAATGAACTTCATGTTTCACATGAGGCTTACATGCCTACATGGTCCAAAAAAGCCACCGAAACAGTCACGGGTTACAAGTTACTTGATGTACTCTTCTTTTCTACAGTTCATTTAACACCAAGAAGTTCCATGGGAAAATCAAGAAAAATGACCTGTGGGTAGACATCACAATGAAAAGGAGGTAACACAAATATGTGAGCAGCAAGGCAGCCAATAAATATAGGGATAGTGGATCTAATAGCTTAAAGCTGAGAAGTGAGAAAACGGAAGCATCATGGAAGGATACTACCAGGTAACATACTTCTGTGATTTCACTAAAGAAATTCCTAGTTAAATACTTGGGTACAACACAGAAGTGACCCATACTCAATATATAAAACGTTAAGATATTCTTTTAACCATTGCTTTGACATAAACTGAAAAGTAAAGTTATATTTCAAAGTCAGCTTTGATGCTATTCTGTGCATCAACACTGCCAAGGCAATATTGCTGAACTGTCACACTTCGAAGTGAACACATGGAGGTTTTTCTAGATTTTAGCTTGATGAGCCAATGATAAGGCAAGCCTTTCCCAAAGGCAGAACTTCACAGGCTCACTGTGCCTTTAAAGGGCCAAACCAGAACAGTGAAGTGATCAATTAGATCGGTGAAACTCTGCAGACTCATCTAGCAAAACTCCCCATGTCTGAAGACAAAAACAAATGGTTTGGAAGCACAGCCCTTTCCTAAGATGCGCTTTATGTGGAGCACAGCCAACACATCACTTTATCCAGGATGCACAAGTGCCACACTTTTCCAACATTCAGAAAACAATACAATCTCCAATATTAATTGTTTTGAATGTCCTTGAAAATAAGAATTCAACATAGCTTGGCCGTGTGTCTTTCCAAAAGGAAAGACAAATGTTGCTTCATTACAACACAAACGTGGAAATCCCCTGCCCTGCACAGCTCTAACTTACACATTTCTACCTTATGATTAAGAAGATCGTATCTCACATTTATTCCCCTGCACACTCTTCCTTCATAACACCATGTGTACTGCCCAACCAGAATAATTTGTGCACGATCACTGCACAGCGCAGTCTGACAGTGCCCTTCCACATGCAGTTAAGACAACAGTAGGAGCTACAGCACAGTTGAAGGTAGCATCACTGGAGAGTCTCAGAAAGAACAGGGGCCCACCTGCACCGCTCAAACACTAGGAAGGCTGCACTTCTCGACTTCATTCTTGTTCTTGGAACTCACGGCATGACATACCGTGGTGCATCAGTTATCTTTACTGCATGGCAACATACTTCCGTTTATCTATCTTTTTTTAATGAGATTATAATCTCTTTGGTCAGAAGCACTCATTATGCGCATATGTAAGCAGTGTGTCAGCGTCAATACCATCCCAGTTTCAATTGGCTTTCCCGCATTAATAAAAAGCCCCATCTTTATCAATGGGACCTTTGTTGCCTGTTTCAGCAAGGAAGGGACGGGACTGAACGGGCCGTAGGGACAAAGCACGCCAAAAAAAGCCTCTGGATAGTGCTATGGGGCAATTGTATTTGTGTCGGCGCTAAACATGCCGCAAGGCGCGGGGAGACGCTCAGCCTTCATGGAGGCTGCCTCCTTTACCCATTTTCAATTCTGTATTTAAAGCAAAACGACAAATGCTAAGAAAAGTTTATCTCGTCCCTACGTGCAACTTGCTCCAATCGACAACATAAAAAGAAAAAAAAATTAAAAAAAATAACCAATCAAACGGAAAAGAAAAAAAAAGAAAAAAAAAAAAAAGCCACGATGATAAGTCATAGCACAAAGCCTGACCCCCACCTGATCGCGCAGGGTCGGGCCGCACAGCGGGCACAGCCCAACGTTAACAACCGCGGGTTGCTCGGGCAGCAAGCAGGAGCGTCTGTCCCTTGACGACAGCCGGCACCTGCACGCCAAAAGCCCCGCGCAGCGTTAGGAGGGAGAGCGGAGGGAAAAAGGGAGAAGCACGGCGGAAAAGACGCCGGGCCGAGACGGACGCGCTCGGCCGCCCAGCGCAGCCCCTGCCGGGTTAGCTCCGCTCGGGCCCCGCCGCGGGCCGCACCTGCCCGGCCGCACTCACCCGCCGGTGCCGCCGCTGGGGTGGTAGGCGGTGAGCACCACGCCGCGGGAGCCGGACAGCCAGCTCATGGTGCGCGCCGCCGCATCCCTTCCGCGGACGCCGAGACGGAGCGAGGCGGCCCGGCCGCGGCTCGGCGCGGCACAGCCTCCCGCCGGAGCGCAGCGCAGCGGGGCAGGCTCGGTGACGGCAGCGCGGCCCGCCGGGACCGTGCCCCTCCCGCTCCTCCTCCTCCTCCCGCCGCCACCTCGGGAACCGGGTGCCCGGCAGCACCAGCGGGAGGTCACGGCGGCCGCTTCCGGCTGCGGAGCTCTGCGGCTGCCCGCGGCCCGCTCCTGCCGCCTCGCGCCGGCCTCGGGCTGCAGCTGGCGTGGAAGCGCTGCGAAGGAGGCAGTCAAACGTTACCGCGCTTTGAGCGCCGCGTAACGGGGCGGGACCGTCGCTGCTGCCTGCGGACGCGGCTTGGGGATGACTTTGATAATAAAAACCGGGGTTGTTCTCAGTTTCTGGTGCTGCTGTGCACGCTGCCCGTAAAAATGAATCGCAGCAGATCGTTCCACGCTTGCTTTCACTTCTACTTGAAACGGATTTTATTTAAATTATAATCTAGCATTATAAAAATTCCAGCGAGCAGCAGGGTCAGACGAGGACACCGGGAGCTGGGCTTCCTCATCGCTGCCGTGTTCTGACTGCAGCCACTTTTGCCATAAGGAAATGGATTGGCTTCAACGTTAACATAACCATCACATTTCTTTTTCTCTTTCAAAGAAAAAAAAAATCATGCCGCTGTTTCACTTGCAATGAAACATCTGAAAAATTCAGCACTGAGTGTCCTGGTATGTTCCAAGGTCTGAATCCTCATTTATCTAAACCACTGTACCCTTAAATAGGAGCACAGAGATTCCAGCCTGTGCTCTAAGGAGCAGCTGAAGGAACTGGGATTATTCAGTCTGGAGGAGGCTCAGGGGAGACCTTATTGCTCTCTACAACTACCTGAAAGGAGGTCTTACTGAAGTGCATGCTGGCCTCTCTTCCCAGGTAATGGTGATAGGACAAGAGATTATGGCTTTAAGTTGTAGCAGGGGAACTTTAAGTTGGATATTAGGAAAAAATTATTCTCAGAAAGAGTAGCAATGCATTCGAAACAAGCTGCCCAGGTAGGTAGTGGAGTCACTGTCCCTGGAGGTCTTCAAGAAACATCTACATGTAGCACTTAACAACATGGTTAGTGCACATGGCATTGATGTGTTGACAATTGGACTCAGTGTTAGAAGTCTTTTGCAACCTTAATGATTCCATGATTCAGTGGAGCACTGCTCCCCATGGTCAACTGACCAGAACTGCCCTCAGGCAGAGCTGGGCAAATGTGTTCTTCAGAGCCCACCATGCACTCAGAGCTGGGAGCTATTGGCTTTGCAGAGTTCATGGGTGATGTCTGGGCATAACTGGACTTTGTCATTGACTTAAGTAGATAACTTTATCCAGGTTTCTTCTTAAAGAAGTGTGGCCTTGTACAAAACACCAAGCAGGCTGTCCTTTACTGCTTTGAAAAGGGTCATGTCACCATGAAGTTTCAAGCCACTCCTGAGGGGCCCATTCCCTTCCTCCACCACTGAAGGTCAAGTTCAGCCTGTGCTTTAGGTAAGTGAAAACAACTGGGGGCAAAGGTGTGTTTAGCAAAGCCTGGATCTTCTATGTCTTACGGAGACTGCTTTATCTGCAAGCAACTTGTTAGGTTTTTTGGACTTTTTGTACACAAATTGACTTTTTTTTTTTCCAATTTTGGGGCTGTGGCAGGATCCCCTTATATCCCAGCGCACAGCTACAGTGCATCATCTCTCAGGCCATGTCTGAAAGGCAGAAATTGATTCTTCACACACAAACACATGCAACACTCAACTGTTTGCACTGATCGTTTTAGAAGTACATCAGCATGAGATGAGAAAGCACCCTATTAATATATGTCACTACACCTATTTACTGTTGCCTTTGGCTCTTTATTTAAATGCATATATGTTTAACTGTTGAACAGCTTATGCGGAATACAGAATTATTTTTTTAAGGACCCAACCTTTTTCATTTAAATTGAAACAAGAAAACTAAAAATGTAAATTAAACGAAATTGCCTTAGGACCTGGCAGTTGCTTAAATTTTCAGCTAACTGGCTGCATGCCACATACTCTACTTGACTGTAAAACTACCTTCAAAGAAGAGATTAAGGAAGAAAGAAAGAAAGAAAAGTGAAATATCTGAAGCATTCTGTGCTTAACGAGTTCTTGCCAAAGCACTATGCCAAACAGAATATATATTAGGTGCCATAAGAGCAAAAATATAAAGTGCTTTTTTCTTTGATAAGCATCTTAAAACATGTCATAATTAGGGCACAACACATGGTATGCCCTCTGTAAAGAAAGAATGCAGAAGCACAGTGTAGCCAGTGTGGTGTCAGAAGGGGCTGGTCAAAGAAAACTTTACTGCAAATGGAAAGTGGGAAAAGACTTGCATGCTGCCAAGTGACAGATGAAGAATGGCAAAATCTAGAATGAGCACATACTTATCAACTGGAGAGTAAGCAAGTCTTTTTAAGCATATCACAATGTTGATGGTGAAAAGAAAGGACATAGAAAGAAAGAAATTCTAAGACTAAATGAGAATAGAAATTAAATTACTGATAACTCAGAAACACTAGAGATACTAATTGCCTTCTTCAATCTGCCTTTAGCATGACACACTTCAAATGTGCTGAACATGAAATAGTTCCTGCAAATTTAGGAGCTTAGTTCTAGGCACACTTTTTTCCTTTACTCTGCCAGACAGCTTGATTGGTTCAGACTCCTTCCTGCTATGACAACAGAACTCCAGTCTGGTTTATTTTTCTTTGCAGAAATGATTCTGGAGGCAGCTAGATAACCTAGACCTACAGATGTTTTATTTCCATACACTGACAGGAATATCCTCACATTTTCACTAGTCCGTCCTTTGCCTAAAAAAACTTACAGTCAGTAATTACTGAGTTTGTAGTTACTAGTCTTGTTCTTAACATGGTGTGAGTATAGCAATGTGAAAAGTAAGGTTTCTTGTTATCAGCTAGGTAAGAAGGCACTGTCAGGGGCACATAACTTTATGTGGTAGAAAAAAGATATCACTGAGGGGGGTAATTACTAATCATATTGTCTTGCTGCTGAACCAAACAAGACTCCTTCAAAGAGTTTAAATATTTAGATTAAGATGTCATGCAATGTCCTTCCACTTAATGTAATCAGTCACCAGGGCCAAGCAGATCATGCAGGAAACATATGCTTAGCGGGTTTTTTTATAAAGCGATTACTAAAAAGAAAATGTCTCAGAAAATGTCTAATTTGTCACAGTTTTTACAGACTCTCAAAATGTCTTAAGTTGGAAGGAACCTTAAAGCCCACACAGTCCCAGTGTGCCACGGGCAGGGCTGCCCCCCACTAGCTCAGGCTGCCCAGTACCCATCCAACCTGGCCTTGAGTACCTCCAGGGATGAGGCACCACAGCTTCTTCGAGCAGCCTGTGCCAATGTCTCACCACCCTCCAAATAAAGAATTTCCTCCTAACAACTAATCCAAATCTCTCCTCTTTTAACTTAAAACCATTATCCCTTGTCCTATCACTATCTACCCATGTAAAAAATCAGTCTCCCTCCTGATTATAATTTCGTATCAAGTACTGGAAGGACTTAACATACAGTTGTTTAACATCTGCTTTTGAATTCTCACTGCAAACACTTTTTTTTTTCCCCCTCAAAAAACAACACTGATTTCTTTTTATTTCCAGGTGATGGTCTGTTTTTCACATTGATGTTTCTGATTATACATCAGTTATCAGCAGGTATAAATGCAATCTATTAAGAAGCACTGGTTTGAGGAAATTGTAGATGATAACCTTACAATTTCAAATTCACTGACCAATTTCAATGGCCCTACATGGATTTATTTCCCACTGAGTTCCAGAGTTCTCCTTGGAAGCAACACCAGAGTGTTCAGACAACAAATGCAGGGCTGCTTGCAAAGTAGATTTGCAATGACCTGGTGCAGTACATAATGCTAATCCCTGGCATTACTTACTGTAAAATTTGTTCAGATAGATTTTAAACGAAACAGAAAAATGCTCAGCCAGCTCACTGCATTTCCATTGTCCAAATTATGTTTTCAGGGCTCCAGCTAGCAGCCAGAGATGGCAAGAAAAAGAAAGAACAGAAAGTTTTTTGTACGCTGGAAGATGATGTCAAACACTTGCTAAGCTTCATACTTGATGTGCTCCACTACATGAAGACCCACACATTTGAGTAGTGTTCTGCAGCCATTAATGAGTGATGTTAGTAGCAGTATGGGAAAGAATATATAGTATAGGAAAGAATATTACATGTGCAGAGTATGATTTCTCCTGCTTAAATCTTGATGACTACATCCATGCAAGTGATTTTAGGCTCTGCTCAAAGGCTGTCAAACATGCACTTTTAGCTGATAAAACCATCTGGCTTATGTTATCCATTCCCTTTAGAACATAAAGATGAATCATGCTCTAGAACTGTCTGCTCCTTTCCACAGACTAAGAAGATAAACTAGATGTATGTCACATGCAGGTGTCCACATCTGTCAGATAAGCTCTATCTTTAATTTTATTATGCTGCCTGTGAAAATACATAACATGCAACATTCAGTTAAAATGCGCACCATATGGCAAATAAAATGTGGAGTGTTCAGTGCTTTGGAATGTACGGTACTAGTATGTAAAAGGTATTTTAGATCAGCTTAAGTACCCCTGAATACCAAACATAGGGATGAAGTCACACACTTGTATGCTGAAAGCAAACTCGCATACAGAAAGCTGGTAATACTCTTGCTAGCCAGCACATAAGGGACTTTTCTTACAGCCTGATCCTTCAAGCTATTATGTATGGATCCTGTATTCAAATTTTAATAGGATCTTTTATGGACAAATATGTCAATTTCTACCAGAACACTGCTTGATAAATGGAGGACTTATTCTGTAAGCAACACGGAATTGTCACAGAAGTGACTGCAAGGACATAACCATAGGGAGGAGAAATAATCCCTCCTACAAGTAGTGCCGGTCTTCCCCCTCGCCACCCTTCACACATAGATCTGAGCTGCTGACTTGTTCCAAGCCTTAGCAAAAAGAAGAAAAAAAAGAAGAGGGAGCACTTCTCACCTTCCTTTCTTTCCTTACAAGTTACTCTAAAATGTATCTGGTGCACTCTGGTGGCTGCTTTGGTAATTCTTTATCTGAGGAGTGCAAAAGGTGAAATAGTAATTACTGAGGCAATTTTTGAGATTATCCAAAGCCTGATGAGCACATGAGTTCATTGCAGTTTATTCAGTTTGATTATTCTCAAATGAAACCCCCTGAAGAAATTCAGGTCACACCCACCACAGCCCATCTGCTTACCTTGCAGGAATG